CTTTGTGATGTAAAGTAAAAAGTAAGCTGATCTTAAATTCATCGTGAGAAGATTAGCTGACAAAGCAATAAAGACTAGCAAACTAGGGCATATATAGACTAGTTAGGTCTCTGATAGTTAAAGAACAAGGTATTAATAAATACAACTGTGATTTTCTAGTGAAAAACTTTGCCTAGTGTATTTCGCTGAAACACATAATGGCACTTTCGAAAAGCTCTACCGTGTTAATTCAATGATTTTATCGTGAAGTCGTCTCAGCCATACTAAGCATAATGGGAAATGTCTTAGGCTTTATGCGGCCCTAATAAAATAATGATAAAAATGAACAATGTCCATATGCGAATTTAGAAACTTATTGCGTCTTATTAAAATAATGCATGAACAACATCTTACTTACCTGCATCAAATTATAGCTTTCCTATGTATAAATATACATATATAAATATTCTCGATTTTCGCAGTTTAAAAAGGACATTATTCTTAGATCGTTTGGGTTTATACAAAATGTGTACCTGTAATGGATGGAATCCAGTCAATATATACTTTTAAGTGGCCCAACCATATAAAATATCCTGTTTTCTCACGGTTAATTGTTTAGGGTTGCAGGAGGGCTGTTGCAAGTTCATACTAAGCATTTATAACTTATAGAGTAAGAAATGTTAAAAAGTCTTATTTCTTAGCCTTCAAGGTAAAAGATATAACTACCATATGAACCATCTTCATTAAGTGTAATATAGGAAACCAAATATTTTGGCAAACAAGATTCCTATGATGAATATTAAAAAAACAGCTCATGAAAAGAAACCTCAGATAGTTAAAGCAGCAAAATAAAAGTTGGAACATGCACAAGGGAACCCCAGTAAAATATTTTGAGCATTACAATTCGAAAGCCGAGTCGTTCTGAGAAGATAAATGTGTCATTTCAAAGCAGCAATAGACCTACAAATCCATAAAAACTGTTTATGGATTATCAAGTTAGCGGCATTTAAATAAATGTATCATTGGAAATAAAACAAAGTAGGGAAATTTGTAGTTGAGTGTGCTTCAGCTATGACAGCGGATAGAGTGGAATTCAACATTTTACAATGAGTTAAATCCTTCGCATTTAAAGGCTAATCGACCTCACCCAAGCAAAATCCGTAAAGAAACACTCCACGAATCCTAAGTAAATATCTCATGGGGGAATAAAATAGCGGGAGGAAAATCTCCCTTTTTAATAATTAAAATGTAATAAAGTCGACGTCTTCATTTCTTTTTCCTCAAGTGGTGCAATGTTAATGAAGATTTTCTTAACCTACTAATTTAATACATGCGGAGCATCAATGAATACTGATATTGAAAAACATTTCTAGTGCAAAAAATGGTGGTTTAATCAGCATGGAGAGAAATTGGTTCTCAAAAATGAAGCAATTTTTAAATTTATACTACCTATAAAAAATCTTAGCTAACTTAGCTTGCCAAAGATAAAATTAAGAAGAGTAATTGAATCTTCAAAAATTAAGCGAATAGAAGTGCCCATTGTAGCATTAACCTTTGAAAAGCATGTTTAAGTCAATCGTACACCAAGATGGTGTGGCTTTAGGTTTGGTCGTAGTTTCCTATAGCTGTGTAGTGTTAATCTGACCTTGTTCTCTAAATTTGATGTGATATAGAGAGTTTGTGGAATGAACCTAGTCCTTCAACCTCTGCTATAGTATTCATTATAATTTCCGAGACTATGGCATAGGATGAAGGACTAGGTAAGTTCTAGAGTCTCCAAGTCGTTACGATTAAGTTGCAAAAACGAAGTAAAACCAACACTGTAAGGCTAAGCCAAATTTAGTGACAATGTAAGGCTTATCAATATGCCTCTGGAAAAATATGCAACATTGGATGACAAGTATTCATACAAAAATTAATGATAGTCTCGAAGTATACTAACATAAGATGCATTTAGACGAGGAAAAAAGGTCTGCTAAAATTATTCTAAAAATGATTTTAAATCGAATTCTAGTGTATGTTTCGTTTGTTTAATTACTGATTTAATCTTATTCGTGACGCTAAACAACTTTAGAAAGTCGAACGAAAAATGTGCTCTAAGTAAACAATTTCGAACCCATACATTTCAACGATCAGAGGTAACCGCTAACTTCTTTGGACCTTAGGCATAATTTTGTCAAAACTAGTCCTATACTTACATATTCGTTTACTACATTGCTGCCGCTTTAAATCGATCATTTAACCAAAATGCCAAAGACCTCAAAGACAAAGTGAGGACAATAAATGAGTGTGCACGTACAGTACCACAGAATAGTTTCTGACTATAAAATACTTTGTATCAATGATAAGCGAGAAACATTAGGAGATTCGTGAGAGGACAACAAAAGTTCAGGATTGGGAAATCAATGTATCCATAATAATGATGAAATGGCCTTTGGATGGATAAGTTTAGTTGATACAATTCTTAAGATGCGTATGCTAAGGTTTATCCAAAGTAATAAGTCAAGCTCAGCAATATAAATTCATTAATATGGGCTCTTCAGGATGACTCCGGATAAAATCCATGAGACTATGAGATGTCGATTTAAAATAAATATCCTAAATGTGGAGCATAAAGTATTCAATCCAAGTTTATTTAAAGCATAACTCCAACCGGAATGAAAGTAAAGAAAGTTCAGAGGAAATCACAGTGAATTTGAAAAATTATAATTCAAGTCATATGTAAGAAAAATAAATAATAAAATTCTGGACATTTTCAATTGAAAATACTAATAGTAAATTAATAAATAAATAGACGAGCATTGTTATGGTATATCATCACGGCTGGTGAAATAGGATATAGTTTTTAAAATATTAATGATGAAACACAGCTCATAGTAAATAAAAATGACAACAAAATTTATTCATTAATTTAAATAAAAGAAAGTTTTAAAAAATTAAAAGTAAATTCAAAAGCCAAATTTGGCATCGAGATCGGATACAAAGCTAACCTGGATAGCTAACGTAACAGGATTAGACAAAAGTTATATTTTAACACCTAAGGCAAGCGACAAAATACTGATCGATCAAGCTAAATAAGAAGAACAATTATGGCGTATATGTAATTAGGTCGAAAAAGATATTAAGGAAATTAATTAGACGAGCAGTTTAATAATAATAATAATACTAACATTTGGCGTCTGCCTCCAGCATGCGCTTCTCTTCCTCAAGAAAAAATGTTAAAAGATTTCCCAGAACAACACATTTAAGTTCAAGAATCGCCTCTTGTTGTTCTGTTGCTTGCTTGTCAACCTCTGAAACAGAGGGAAGCAAATTAGAGTCATCCTGTGATTGAGTGCAGTCATCACTCTCTCGTTTCTCCGCATTTTCCGTCTCATCTTCCGGAGCACTGGTGGCATCAACCAAGTCACTTGGACGAATGGACTTCTTGGAATTTGCTCTATAAATGTCGTAGGCAGATTGCGGCATCCCAGGTGACCGTAAAAGATCATGATAGAACCGACAGAGACGGTGACCACAGAGAAGTTCGTGATGTCTAGTGCAAAGAAAGCCAAGACCAGAAAGAGCTTTCTTGCGCATCTCTAGGTCTGTCTTCACTTGTTCCGTAAAAAACATAAGTGTGTCGAAAACCTGATCCCTGATGCTTAACTGAAAGAATATAAGCATAGATTTAGTAAATAAGTAGATTGACATTAACTAAAATGGGTAAGCAAGTTAACAGACAAAGTGTCATAGAACACAAGACTATCCTCTTTCAAATTCTTGTAGGATCAATCAATAATTACTACTATGAGCATATTTTAAATCAAATTAAAATGAGCTTAAAAGAAGTTCACGCAAGTGGTAGCAAAGGAATTTCTTAAATGTATATATATATATATATATATTTATTATAAATATTGACATAAGGTAGACAAAGTATTTACTTATGCAACCAAGCATAAAATCAATGAATACACAAAAGTCCTTTAAGCGTACCCTCGGATCTGTTTGAAACACGTCTGCGTCGAAATATTTGCATAGCAAGCCAATAGTGAAAAGAGCGCGTAAAATGGATGGTCGCATGCTGGCTGAAATCTTGCGTTCCGGATCAGAAGCTAAATCTTGTCGAAATCGGGTAAGCGCAGTGAAGAATCGTGAGAAACAGTCGCGCACTAAGGTGTAATTTTTTGAAACACGATTGACCACAGCACCGAGACAGGCCACACACGACTCGAGCACCATTTTCCCATGACGGAGTGTCAAACGAACCATATCTTCCTCCAGCTGAGCTACCATTGATTCACTTGGATGCTCCATAAGTGGTACAGTAACTTCAAGGATCCGGGCAACGTAGTGCAGAATGTGAGAATCAGCGGGCTCTTTGCAGCGGATGGTGAGGTATGGCGTCAGTAACATGGTGTGCTGCACCATAAGTTCGGGCCTTATCTTAGTGAAGAGATGCAGTGTGGCCAAACATGCCACAAGACGCTGGTTGCTCTGACTTGATATCTCTGTAATCAAAGTATCCATTGTCAAAAAGGCATCATGGATCGATAAAACGAAATTTAAAAGATAAATCGTTTTAACCTACTTGGAAATGACGATAGTATAGACGGCATATATCAAGATTTACATCAATTTAATGTAGTTATGCATGTTCAAACAAGAACTTCTGATTAAGATTATAGAGAGGATGTATAAACCATTAAGGAAGAGTAACTGCTTATCAATAAACCTTAAGCTACTATTGTTGAACGAATCTTAACTTGCGAGTAATTTCATCAGAAGCTGAAGTAGTTTGATTCCACTAAACTCCTAAGTCGAAGCAATCCTAAGGATATTCTTCTTCTATTTTAATAAAAACCTGTTGAGTATTATCCTTTTATATGAAAGATACACCAGGAAGGTTGGGTTTCATTCTTACAACTACAAGGTATACTGTGTACATAAAACTAGGAGATGTCCAAAAATAAATGTTGAGTGACATAGAATGATTTATCCATCCTTTTTATGAGAAATAAAAATGGAGTCAAACATGTTTTGATTACATCTATTTTTTAGCTCAGGAAAAGGTATTAACAAATTCATAATTTTTTTTATCTTGATTGCCTCCTAGTTTTGGCTTAGTAATAGAGATAGCAGAATCAGCAAAACAAAAGGCGTGAGACCATTATATCTTGTTTTCAATCGTTGCTTTGCATTCAACGATCTCTAAGAAGTTGGCCCATCATCTCTACAAACATTTTGTGTCAAGGTGCACTTTAAAAATAAGGCCACGTCCTACCAAGATAAGAGAAACCACATGAACAAAGATTTTTTAACGGCCTGATCTGAATATTGTCAAATTACTCTCAAAAAAATTAAAAAAGACAGAGAAAATGACAACGCTTCTCTAGAAGCTGTTCTCCAATTAATTACAGAATAGCTGATCATTTTAGAAAGAGGACATAAAGGCAAGTTCTAGAAATGATAAAAAGTATAGGCTTTTGACATAATTTCAAATAGTATGCATACAAAATTTTAATTATCACTTAAGCAAATCTATTGTAAACCAGACTTATAGGATAATAATTATTAAATAATAAATGTATAAACCCAAATATACCCCTATATAAAGCGCCAGCTACATATTCCTTGAAATTAACGATTTTAAAAGTCTAACCAGTCTAATAAATATGGTCATACATACAACACAATAAAACCAGTTTATATGGGTTTCATATGAGTATCTCTCTACAAATTCGCATCTTGCTTAATAAGCAAGCATT